GGTCTTATCATGACGCTCCTCCCCTGTTTTATCTTCTGAAGAATCCCCATGTGTCGGCCGTGCCAATGGTGGAGGCAGTGTGCTCCATGGATCCAACGGCGGCGACAGAGCCTTGTGGAACAGGACGACGCATGACTACAACATTGCACCGCGCTTGCGACGGCGCGTCCATTCCCATTATCGTGGAATCAATTTACCGAAAGCATCCACCTGCACTGCTCGCTGTGGATGGTAAAGGAAAGCTCCCATTAGAATACATGTTGCCAAGAAAGCGGGAAAGTGCCCTCAACAATACACGAAAGTTATCCTCGTTATCGCGGCTCTTGGGGATATGCCCTGATGCTGTCATGCAAGAGAATCGAAATGGTCTAGATCTTCTCCAAGTAGCCTTCAGTATCACGGACATTTCTCCGGAGGCTCTCGAGTTGATCTCTTCTCGGTACAACGATAATTGTTCCAATAAAAAGCGCAACTTTCTGATACCAGGTATTTTGACTCCATCAGCTGCCGATAACGTGTTATGCCGCGTGTTGGGGAAGCTCGGGCATTTATCATTTTCACCGGGACAACCATCATTCACTTCTTCCGAGTCTCTTCGAAAATTTCTGGGGGCCATGGCAGAAAATGAGTCCATCCATCAACTTTCGGCGCTCTTGTTACACAGAGATTTTCTCGCGACGGATCCAGAGGTTGTCCCGAAATTGGAGCAAATATTCCAAAAGAATACGGCTCTGCGCTCTGCAAGCATGACTTGTTTGCAATACACTCGAAATCCTGAGGCCGGTAACGAAAAAGTTTTGCCTCGCCTCTTGAGCAGCCTGAAATGCAATCAGGCACTGCAAGAACTGAAGCTGGATTCCTTCCGCCTCCCTGCTCCTGACGCCAACACCGTGATTCAGCCAAGTCTCGAGAAAGAAGAAACCTCTTCAACAATCAAACGCAGCGCGCTGCGTAAACTGGTTCTAAAGGACTGCATAGAGCCAACAATAACATGCGGCGATACTTTGGTGGGCTTGCTTCCATTGTTCTCGTCGCTCAGAGAATTGAAAATCTCCTTCAAACTGTGGTCGTTTAACACAGCAAACCTACCCGACTTTACAAATGCCATTGTTCAGGCGATGCGTCATTGCCCATTGGAGGATTTTGCTGTCTGTAATGCCTTGGTGGATGCAACACCAATCTGCGAGGCACTTTGCTCCAACAGTACCCTCAAAAAGTTTGTCGTTCTGCGCCAATCTCCGGACGTCTTCAAACCCTACGTAGACGACATCTTTGATACTGTCGAAAAGCTGAAGGCTCTTCTGGAAGTTGTCAGGGTGGGCAACACTACATTGACGGATATCTTGTATCTACCAGGGAAGAACGGGTATACCAGACCCATCATACAACGCATTATGTATTTCCTGAAACTCAACAAGTGTGGCCGGCAGTTGGTGCGGCAACCCGGCTTCAGCAAAGAGTCACTGGTTCAGCTCCTGGAGGTTACCAGTTTGAATGCCAGGGTAAAGCATCGTGTTCAGTATGGGTTATTGCGGGAGGTACCATCTGTGTGGGCAACATGCGGGTAGATTACAAGGCAGTAGCAGGAGTAGAGATTTGGCAGCAGGGAATCTGGATCGACCCAAGTCCACTCTCGGCAATTGCGGACTCGGTGCAGGGTCTGCTGGGAATCAGTTTTGTTGTTTTGTTTAAAAGAAGTGGCTTCCTTCCACTTGAGTTGGAACCTGTATTTTGCCAGAAGAGGGAATCTTTGGAGAATGGCAAACACGTCGTCAAAATCATCGCAAGCATCTCTAGACAATCTTTCAGCAAGCTCTCTGTACGGGTCGCGTGGGTCACTGAAGGGGTTGTTGCTGTTGTTGTCATCTGTGCCTTCCATGATACCTTTGGTCGGTTGTCTGTCGCAGAAGCTTCAGTGGGATGATGAGAGCACCAGCCTTTGGGTGTTTGCAGGGAGAGGGCAACAGTGCGCACTGTCACAGCAACAGCACGCCACTCATTTTTATGTCTCGTTTCTTGAGCCGTGCTTTTAGACCTTAACCCTAAGCTCGTTTTGAACACTTCGCATTCGCCAACGACGCGACCCAAAGACAGGATCAAGCATGAGACAATCAAAGTGTCCAAGGCGTCCTGCATGCAAGGTGGTCATTGACAAGAAGCCCTCCACAAAAGCAAACAGTGAGTTGTGCATGTGGGCCGATAAAGAAGAGTATCTGCAACTTGATAAGACTACGGTACGTATGAGCTATTGACTATGCCGCCACCTCGGTAGAGACAACCACGACGACCCAGCTGCAGATGAGTCCCTTCCTTTCTTTCCATCAGAACCGGATTTTCTGTGTCCAAATGTCTTGGATCTTCCGCCGCCAAATGGTGTCCTGGAATGCTGCGAGGAACTATCCAACACATGTGTTGTTGAATGTTCCGATCGATGAATCGACAATCTGCCTGGTAAACTCACGTCGTCACCATCATCACAGCTGCCATCCAATGCAACAGCCAGTCGGTTAATGTCCTCTATTCGCGCTTCATCTCGTTTGGCATCGGAATATGCTGATTCAATATGATTGTATTTGAATGCGTACATGGGCAGGACAAAGGCAAGACACGTAATGCAAATCAATGCCGATGACACCAAGAAGTGGGCGGTCGGCTTGTTTCTGGCCACCAACAAGAAAGGACCTCCCACCAGCCCGGTCTCCAAAAGAGAAGCCATCGACCAGGTCAAGTAAACGGTTTCGGAAAAGTAGAAACTCTTGTTGCGCACTTGGTAGCACTTGTAGGCAGTGAACAGAACCCCCGCAACGTTTGCAACTCCCAACAACACAAAGAAGATCCATTTCCAATTCGAGTTGGTGGTGATTCGGCACACTCCGTAGGACTCTAGGTTGCGTCCAGAACGATCAGTATTGTCCACTGGTTGTCGTACATAATGATAGGGGGAGACCACCGTCCATACTGTGAGAACTGTCGCGTTCCAGATCAATAAGACGAAGAAGGGCTTCATGACTTGTTTGGCTGTTACTGTCACTCGTCGCATGCCTTGGGCGCCAGAACTGATTTGTTCCAGTCTCCATGCCTTGGCAAGGATTGCACTCATGGCGCACACGAATCCAAGGCATAACAGCCAGGGAATCGACATGCAGGCTCGATCTAGCCTGGTGGATTCTTCCTTGCCCTGGAACGTCATGGGGATGATTGTACACGCCATGATGATGACACCACACAGTAACAGGACAAGGAACGTTGGCTGGGCGGATCGAACCGCGAACTTATCTTTGTTTCTGAGAGTCCAAGCAATAAGGAACGTCGAAATAAGAAGGATGGTCCCACCCATGCAAAGACCAACAATATGAGCCCCTAGCGGCACCAGATTGTAGTCATAGTCTCGCAACGGGGGAAGGGGAGGGGGTGGTGTTGTCGTGTTGCCGGAATACACAAAGGAATTCTGAATCTGAACCTGATCGCCAACCATCATTGCCACCGTTTGAGCATCATAATGGTACGTGGTGTTTGTCGATCGAGCTTCGGAGAGGACCAAGTTCCACACTATGTATTGCGTGCTCACGGACGCCCGAGAACCCGAAGCACCAAAGGATACATGGCCGGAAGTACCATTGAATTCGACATGTTGGAGAGCATCATAGAGTTGCTTCTGGTCTTGGCCATAGTTTGGGGCACGACAGGCTGCCAATCCCATGGCCACAACCGCATCAAAGGCAAAGAAGCGAAACGTGGGAGTTTGGGTCTCTGGGGGCGTAAAGTTGACAAAGAGTTCGGGCTCCGCCATTTTCGAGACAAAGCCTGCCCACTGTTCAGGTGATTCCCGGAGCTCCTTGGCTGCAATATCCAAGGGTTCATAGGGGTCCACTTGTAATTGTATAGTTCCCACACCATCCAAAGCATTTGCAAGGTCCCCGTCAGTTTCTCGATCCCATCCAAAGTTGTCGTTTGGCCATGACGCCTTTCCCTGAAAGAGCCAGAAATACTCTGGGTTTCCAATAATCCCGTGTCGGTAGGCGATGCGTACAACATCCTCGTAGACTCCTTGGTACATTATAGGGACGATGTACTTGATTCCTGATGCTCGAAGTGATTGAATGGTCTTCTCTATGCTTTCTTCATTGTGCTCCTGTATGGCGAATCTCTGAAAGGTGATCCCCAAGCGGTCTGCCTGGTTCTGAAGCAAGACGGAGTACTCGTTTCCGTGCAAATCCGTCAACAGAAAAACGTTTGCCACCACTGAGGGTGTCCCCACGAGGCTGTGCAGGTACGTCATGATGGCCCTGGCTTCATTAATGTCCGTGGGCGTCGTCCTGGCAAACAAAGGTGATCCCTCCAAAGCTGGACTCGTTGCAACACTGACTTGCGGAATACCCAGTCCACCTCCCGCCAGAACTGTGACAGTTTTGGCCACTGTTTTCAACAGTGGCCCGATAATCACCGTGGGCTCTACTGTCGTGTTGGTTGCGTTGCCAAAATCCATGGCTTGCAGCAATTGATTCACCGCTTGTGCCTCGGAAAATCTCGTGTCACGCAGCTCCAGGTCCCAGGATACATCACATCCCACCAACAGAGCTGGCAACCCAGACAAGATATCCCCTCGTCGTTCCTCCAGTTCCCTCCAGGCCAAGTAAACACTGGCAGATAGCTCCAAGAAGCGCGAGTGAATCTCGCGGTCGTTGCCTTGGGTGCGTGTGTATCCCATCAAACCCAACATTCGACCACGTGATTGCGCCCCACGGGCACTATCATCGTCAAGCAAAGATGTTGATATGTTGTTCATCTTTTGGCGAAACAGCACTGATTGTATTTGAGGAGGAGACGACGGTGAAACAACTGGCTCTTTGGGGTGGTTCGCAGATGCTGATAATGGAGTTTCTTGTCTTTTTCAGTGGCGCTGCGAGGAGATGTGCACACTGCACACAACGCGGCTGCGAATAAATAAATAGTGAGGCCGCTGTGCTTTTCCGTACGAGTGCTACGGCACCAAAGACATCAGATTCTGTAAAAACGCGATCTCCAATCCACTGATGAATGATGAGAACACTCCAACACAGGTCCACAATTAACCATTGCATCTCCTTCAAGGGTAGAACGGTGTCACCCAGGAAAATGGCTCTTTATGTACCCCGTACAAACACTGTACTGGGACAAATAATAGATACCGGTACATGCAGGAGAGCAGTCCATAGGCAACTCCGAACCAATTCATAGTACAAAGATTCTAAGAGACTGCACCTGCAATCTCATAGAAAACAGCTTAGAAAACATACCAAGTAAGGTGAAAATCAGGTAAAAGTAAAGAGTTCTCAATTGGATAGGAGAAGCTTTCGTTCACCCCGCTGTCTGTCTATTACAGTACCGGTACCGCTACAGAATGAATCCACTTGGAGAACAAGAGAACAGTTCGCTGGAGCACTGCCCCCAAAGCGAAGGAAACAATGAGCTCAGAAGACCGACGATTTGGTGGAAGTGGAATGGAGCCAATATGATGTCAAGGCAGGAATCAGAGAGGATCCAAACAGCCCCTATCCAAAGCCATTGAGTGGATGATTGAGTTAAAAGGATTGAAGATTCATTCTTGGATACCTGTCCCCCTTTGGAAGCTTACCCATGCTCTGAGATGGGCTGCATTCAACGGGGAAAACTGGTTTCCAAAGGAAGACTGGATGAGATATGATTGTGATGAATGCCAGTGATGGTCAGCTCGCCCAAAACATGGCCAGACATATGATATGTGCCAAGGAAGGTCACATCCTTGCCATGAACTTGACCTCCAACAACCTTATTAAAAATGGCAAGGCACCCAGAGGGGCATCTCTCCCGAGAGCAAGAGTCGCGGACTATTCCAACAACCAACTCCAAAGCACCTTTCCTAGCTGCATCAGCAGCCAAGGCACCCCTGGAAGTGATAGACCTGTCTGACAACAGCATGGGTGGAGCAATACTGCAGAGTTGGGATCATGCAATGCTGTCACGAATATGCATGTTAGATTGCAACCAACTGGAGGTGATTTGAAGTTTCCACCCACATTTTTTCCTAATTTAGAGTTATGAACCTCACAAACAACTTCTTTGGTCCAACCTTGACATTCGAGTTCGGAGGCCTCACCAAGATCACCTAACACTGTTTGGGACTTGGGTACAACAAGTACAGAGGGACAGAGGGACACTGGACCTTCAGTTTGATTGCTTTGACTTGCGAACAAAAGCACATGCGAGACTATCTTTTTCTATTACTCTCTAATCTAGTAGATGTTAAAGTTATGACCTCAAGGAACGCAAGGAACGGCCCAGGAGATAGACCTTGGGCGGCCCAGCAGCTTCCGCCAGCCGGCTGGGAGCCGCCACTTTTACCAATAGTTCAACCAGCAGTTCCGGCCATAGCTGTCAGCCTGAGGGAAACATATCAACGATAATCATTTCTACAATGCACGGAATCAAAATTTCATTCCTTGGACGACGAGCCTTGGTCATGGTATAGTCAATTCGGAAGAAGATCCTTTGCTTACAAAGCGCTCTTGACAGATCCCACGTGATACTGGCACTCGTCCAATATACCAGCTTCTGGTTCCACCAAATAGTACCCATAGGCAATGAGTTTTCCTGTGATCCCCTGTGATTGTTCATGGGAGATGCCATCCTCGGAATCATCTGTCATGGTTTCAGTTGCATCCGACTCTAGCTCCAGCGGCTCTTCTCCAATCAATCGGGGCATCCCTGGAGCCGTTCGTCCATGACCATTCGGGTTGATGCAAGGCGGGAGCAGGTCAACATCAATATACTGGTCCAACACGTCCAAATAGTTGTTTGAATTGGTAAACACCATCTTCTTGCGTGCTGACGCAGGGAAAATGTGCTTGACAATAGACCACGCGACTCGGAAGAGTGCCGGTGCTCGGATAATAATCATTCGCTGGTACGGTATCGGAAGGTGCGAAGGTGAGGAGCTGTCTTTGGTGGTATTCTCTACAAGTAGACTTTGTCATTTTTCTCTTACCTTGACGGGTGCGCTATAATAGTTTTTGGTTATATCGATGACTTCCCATCCAGCACTCTGGGATTGAGGTGGCCTGACGACAAACCCTCCATATCGTACTGAAGGAAATAGCAACATTTGAGCATGTTGTAGTAGTGACCCCAATGCAAACACACACAATTTCCTTTACTTACAACAATGGTAATGGCCTTGGGTGGATGTCCATTTTTTCGATTAAAGTCTTCCGCCCATGGCCCTCGCATGTGCAGTTCTCGGATCCAAATGGCATGTTTGATCATTTCTTCCTTTCCTACTGTCTTGAGCACTCGTGTCGCGTCCATGGCGCCACCACGCTCACAGTAGATTGGGTCTCCATCTCGATCGCAGTCGTTCAGAATTGCAGAAACGGTGTTTTGTACCATGACTGGATGGGGCTCGTATCGATGGAGAAGACTGTCAATGTCATTTTCAATTCGCCAGTTCACCATTTTTCGAATATGATGTTCCACCGACGAAGGAGAAAATCCAAGTGGGCCCTTCATGAACCAGAGAACATGGTGCGGTTCATTTTTCCAGTAGGGAAGATCCGAAAGGTTGTCTCGTAGCGACTTTAGTTGGTCAACTTCCTTCGGTTTCAAAGACCAAGCTTGGCAAGCCTTCTCAAGGTTATCCTGGGACCAACTTCCAGGAATAACTTGATTGTAATTGAAGCTTTCGCTCAGAGAGGGGACCGTTGATTTCATTACTTTTCCCATGATGTTGCTGCTTCTATAATACATTCTCTGCTTTGGCTGTTGTTGTTGCTTTTTTGTAATAGAATTGTGTCAGTGAAAGATGCGGAATTGGATGTCTTGACAGCAGATGGCTGAAGATCCATCAAGTAGCATGCCCAACAGGTCTTGTTGTTTGTCGCATCGCCGCATTCGACAACTCGGCATGTTAAAGTTTTCGCTGTGGAGCAATCCTGCTTGTTGTTTCATGTGTGACTGGGCACACGCGCTGTCCAGAGTACACCGTACCAAAGTGGCAAGTCTTCCCACACGCCGAGTGCCCAAATGACTTCTGGCAATTAGGTGTCCATGCCATTTGCGCCTCGATTTGATCCTGTGAGCTGTGAGGAGACATCGCCAGCTTGATATTGTACCAGAGTACTGTAGGCCTGCTGTGCCTTGCATCAAAGCATGTTATCTCGTTCCATTGCTTCTCTCTAGCTAGCTAAGGTATCAGGTTGGATTGGTCTTGAGCTGATAAGGGCATATCTATCTATGCTCCGGCCTGCACGGCTTTTTGCGCTACATGATGTACACTTTCCCACAAGAATACAACATACAGTGGAAAATGTTGCACATTGCAGTGAGAACAAATAAAAGCCCATTGTAGAACAAGCAATATGTCTTCAGGTAAAAGCATCCAAGACAAGCTAGCAGTAGGCGTTAGTTGTGCGACTGGCACCTCTAGAGCTACCACTAGTCCTTTCAGGCTTCATCTGCATATTGCATGCTGTGGGCCATTCAACAAGTGGCTGTGAGCATCAAAGGTTTTGTTATGCATAGTCCTTCAATTATGGCCGAAGCAATATCAAAAGAAGAACTTATTGAGCAACCGGACCCTTTCGTACAGTTTTTGAAAACTGTTGGAGGGCGCAAAGAAAAATGCAAAATGGATTTGGGTAGGGGTGCGGCATTGGGTCGCCTTCGTGGTTGACCTTGGTACAATAGTATGGCATACGAAACGGATTAGAGTTTCCTCTACTAGCACTAGCTAGCTAGCTAGCTGTTGAAGGTCACTATTAGTTTTGATGCTCAATTTGTACCGGTAGGTAATGCCTTGATCTCAAGGAATGCAGCAGCACGCTAATACTCGGCATTTTGTCTGTTTTGGAAAGTGTTTTGGCGATTAAGTGTAAATGTCTACACACAGTTAGTAGACATAAGTAGACAAAGTAGCAAAGTAGACATTGTGCGACGGTTCGCACTATTTGCAAGCTACTTTAGTGTATTAAGTTCGCACACAGTTATAATTAGGAGACATTAGTAGACAAAGTGATACATTAGTAGACATTGGTAGACAAAGTGAGACATTGTGAGACATTGTGAGACATTGGTAGACAAAGTGAGACATTTTTGTACTGTTTTAGTGTACTGTGTAGACAAAGTGAGACATTGGTAGACATTACTCCGGAGTAGTAGACATTGTGAGACATTGTGAGACATTGGTAGACATTGTGAGACATTGTGAGACATTGTGAGACATCCGTAGACATTGTGAGACATAAGCCACTTTTACAAAGGAGCATAGAACATTTAGGCAACTCTGTAATCAGATACAATAGCCTTAAATAGACAAAATGCCGAGTAACCCTGATAGCTATTGCTTCATTTATGTGGATTGGCTGGAGTCAGAAAATCAGATGAACCAAACAAAAAAAAGCCATGCCTATGTCACCGTTGTAGACGAAATGCCAGAAGTTTCCCAAGAAATGGACCACACAAAAGCGGTTGAAAAAAGCAGCCCTATTTTATGAAGGATTTTGGATCTTCTTCTATGGCACCCATGATGAAACTTTATCATGCGAAATCTCTTCTTTATACTCAAGCATATGATCAAGCCGTGTCTTCCTATGTAATTGCTCTGGTGCCCTGTGGCTTATCCAGCTTGCCTTCTGTGAGTGCTTTCTCAATCAAGATGTACAACATGCCCATCCATAGCAACTTGAATGTCACGTGTTGCCAATACATCAAACACACAGTCATCCTTGTCCTCCTTCCAGTGAGCACATGCCTCCTCTGCTTCCTTCTTCGCCTTGGCCATGCCCATGCGTCCCTTTAGCATCTTTTTGGGGCGTATGCACTTGGTTGGGAACTGCGGGAACCGAGTCTCTTGGAAGAGCATTGGCTCCGTGTCAAGAACTTGCCACTCAAGGGCAAAGGCTTCAGCATTCTTTGGATCCACCTCAATCTCAGTCACGCCATCACGAGCCATTGTATTTCCAGTGTGCCACTGACCAAGCAACCCAAGACTGCCGGCAAACAGATCTGTCTTCCCTGCATCCACAATCACAGCAGGGAAGCCATTCTTGCGGGTATGAAAGTCAATCTTTGCTTTGGCTTCTTCGTCAAGGCGCACAGAGATTGCCTTTCTGTCACGTCGGACCATGTAGCCCCCAAACATGGTCTTGTGGTGCTTGCGATTGGAATCCACCTTGGCTCCATTAATGAAGAAATTGTCCACATCATTGCCAAACTCCAAAATGTCATCGCCAATTTGTAAGGCAATTCGTTCAATATAAGAAAAGTACTTGACGCGAGTGGTTCGGATGTGAACTCGTAGCCCCTTCCCATTTGCAAAAGAAGGATGGTCAACTAGAACAAGATCACATTCTCCATGATAGTCAAACTTGACACCATGCCAAGTCTACAAGAGACAATTGAAACAAATTAGCTAGGAATTTAAGTTGGCCAGCCATATGAGATAGTCACTCAAAAGACTTACTTTGAAGTGAGGGTCGCCGGAGCTGCTTCCCTTCTTGGGTGTTTTAACTTTGGGTATTTCCGTAGTTGGGGAGACAGTGCTGGGTACCTCTGTGGATGGAGACAGAGTGCTTGGATTGGAAGTTGTTGGGCTGTCTGTGGTGGGGGGAGCACTGGTTGGGCTCTCTGTGGTAGGAGCAGCCGTTGCAGGTGCTGCAGTTGTTGGACTGGCCGTCATGGGGCTTTCTGTGGTGGGGCTGTTGGTTGTGGGAGCTGCCGTGGTTGGGCTATCAGTTGTAGGCGCTGCAGTCGTTGGGCTGCCTGTGGTAGGAGCA